TCCGCCCCACACCCCAACCTAACTCAACCCAGGGATAAAAATCTACAATATTTTAACAGGCCTCTGTGGTGTAGTGGTTAGGCATGTAACTGTGACACGCAAGAGATCAGCATGCGATTGCTCGGTTGGAGAGATTTTTATTTTTTGGAGTATCTCGGTCTTCTCTGCTACTCGTAGAATGGAGTATCCCTTTCAGCCCGCGTTTGGCTTTGGCAGGAAAACTCTTAAGCCTGCCTTCTAAATGATTTAATTTGTGTTCATCAGGGCGTAAAGAGCCTTAATTAAAAATCTTTTAAAAACAGACATACAGTTTACCCACAAAAGTCGGTATATTATGTAAAATCTATACTGATATATTATTATGACAGAAACTTTATTTAACAAGACAAACGTTATCAAAATGTTTTTGGTATGTGTGTCATTTGATATCTATGCAGTTTCACGGAAGCCTTTTCTGTAAATGTGTATTTTTAAATAAAATGGCGTTGGACAATAACCTTTAAAAAGGACACAAATATTTACCCTCTTAGCGGGAGATAAAATAGGATTGATGAATTTGGATTCAGCATTCGTTATGATTTTAGCTACTTAAAAGCTGGTTGAACATTCATATTAGCCGTAAGCTTCGTTTGGTGGAAGAACAAGGATCATTATCCTCATCATCATCTTCATAACCATAATAATAATAATAATAATAATAATAATAATAATAATAATAATAATAATAATAATAATAACCCATTCATTGTGTATCTTTACCCCAACCTTAAACCCTGTTCCCTCACCTGTGTATCCCAGACCGCACACACAAGTGTAGTTATCTCCCTTCCCCTGACACGAGCCGCCATTTTGACACGGGTCCGACGCGCAGCCCCGAGTATCCACAGCACAACGACTTCCGTTGTAACCCTCGGCGCATGCGCACTCGAAACCATTCACTATGTCGGTACAGTTCCCGCCATTCAGACACGGTTCTGGTTCAGTCAGACATTCGTTCGTCTCAAACTCACAAGCGTCTCCGTGGAACCCCTGCAAACACTCGCACCTAAAACCGACGTAAAACCCTTCCCCGGGCGCAGCATTGCGGCTGTCGAGGCAGGTGGCGTTGTTTTGGCAGGGATTCGAACTGCATTCATCGATGTCAATTTCGCAGTGCGCTCCGGTGTAGCCAGCCACGCACAGGCAGTAAGTTGTGTTAGCGACCAGCGCTGATGATGATGATGGTGATGATGATGATGATGATGATGATGATGATGATGATGATGATGATGATGATGATATTTGAGAAGCTGCCAAAAGAGTCTCATTAAAAATACACGTAGCACCGTTAAAACATTCATTAAATTCGCACTGATTCACAGGAGTCTCGCAGTTGGTCCCTGTGTAGTAGAAAGGACACATACAGAAATAGGAATCTGCCCCATTTCTGCACTCAGCATCATTCTGACATGGTTCGGATATACAGTAATCCACAAACTCACAATAGTTGCCATAGTAACCCCTGGAGCAATTACAGAGATATCGCGTTGATTCCAAAATGCATGTGGCATTGTTTTGGCACTTATTGTCCTTGCAAAAATCAAAATACTGACATACATTCCCAAAATAAGGATCAGTGCATTGGCATATAAAAGAGGGTTGTTTTGTTGCGCTAGAATTGGTAAAATTCAGGCTCGGAGTGGCAGACACATCGGAAGTAGAAGCGTTGTCAGAATTATTAAGTACACGCTGATTCTGAAGCAAGCATTTACCGTTGTTAAAGCAAGGGTCCGACACACAGAAATCCTCAAACTCACAGAGTGATCCAAAATATGGCACTACACAAGAACACTCGAAATCGTTCACTTTATTTAAACAAGACGCGTCGTTGCGACAAGGGGGAGGGTCGCAGTTGTCAATCAAAACATCACACGTGTTCCCCGTATATCCAGGGAGACAGTTACACGTGAAGTAGGAAGAATTAAACGACACGCACGACTCCGAACTACTAATGTTGCAGGGATTCTCGAAGCAAGCTTCCACAGGCGTCTCGCACAGCACACCAGTAAAATCCTCCGCACACACGCACGAAAAACTCTGATGACCATCCACACACGTCGCGTTATTCTCACACTGGCCGTTCAAACAGTCGTCCACGCTATCTGCACAACTTTCGCCCGTCCAGCCGTCTAGACAAGGACAGGAGAAGGCGTTCCAGTCGTCCACGCAGAAGGAGTTGGGCGGACATGGATTGACGTCACACACACGTGACCCCTGGCAGCGCGGGGTCAGGTCAGTCGGTGCAATCGAAAGCCCGGGTGTGGGAGGTGTCTCGCCACGTAGGTCCAGGCTCTGGTTGTTGAAGCTCAAGCCTTTCATGCAGCCGTCGAGATAGCCCACGAGGACGCTGGCGTTACCTGGGGGAGAGAAGGCGGAAACATGGAGGTGAGGTGAGGTGAGGTGAGGTGAGGGGAGGTGAGGCGAGGAGATGTGAGGTGAGGTGAGGTGAGGTGAGGAGAGGCGAGGTGAGGGGAGGGGAGGTGAGATGAGGAAACATGGAGGTGAGGTGAGGTGAAGTGAGGCGAGATGAGGTGAGGAGAGGTGAAGTGAGGTGAGGTGAGGCGAGGAGAGGACGGGTGAAGTGAGGTAAGGTGAGGTGAGGTGAGATGAGGAAACGTGGAGGTGAGGTGAAGTGAGGCAAGTGAGGTGAGGTGAGGTGAAGTGAGGCGAGGAGTGGACGGGTGAGGTGAGGTGAGGTGAGGTGAGGAGAGGAGAGGTGAAGTGAAGTGAAGTGAGGTGAGGTGAGGTGAGGTGAGGTGTGGTGAGGTGAGGTGAGGTTGAGGTGAGGTTGAGGTGAAGTGAGGTGAAGTGAGGTGAGGCGAGGTGAGGTTGAGGTGAGGTGAAGTGAGGTGAGATGAGGTGAGGTTGAGATGAGGTGAAGGGAGGCGAGGTGAGGTGAAGTGGGGTGAAGTAAGGTGAGGTGAGGTGAGGTGAGGACGGGTGAAATGAGGTGAGGTGTGGTGAGGTGAGGTGAGGTGGGGTGGGGTGAGGTTAGGTGACGTGAGGGGAGGTGGGGTAGGAGAGGTGAAGTGATGTGAGGTTAGATAAGATAATATCGTGATCATATCAAATCATGAGACATAAGGTAAGATAAGATAAGATAAGATAAATCTTTACTACCTCATCACTCGCACAATGTTTTGGTGTTCCACCACACTTACTTACACACACACACACACCTACACACACACACACACACACACACACACACACA